ATGCCACCCGCAGTTGGAATCAGCTTCCAGAAGAGATCAGATGTGCTAAAACATTAGTCACATTTAAATGCAGACTCAAAACTCATCGGTTTAGCTGTGCATTTATTGAATGAGCACTGTGCGATGTCCGAACTGATTGCACTGTATTTTATGTATCATTTTCTATTTTTAAATTCATTTTAAATCAATTTCTAAATCCTTTTAAAAGTTTTTAAGTTCCCTGTTTTATTGTTGTGATTTTTAAAAAATGATTATTTTACTTCCTTTTATGTAAAGCACTTTGAATTACCATTGTGTATGAAATGTGCTATATAAATAAACTTGCTTTGCCTATCTATGCATTGCATCTCATTTGCATGTTAATGTGTTTTTGGGGCAAACCATTATGAAAAAGAAGTGTAATAATGGGACGGGAGTAATAACTTGGCAACAAAAAGTGATATTCCGATTTGAAATCCCATAACATTTTTCTGAGATGTTTATTTACGACAAACAATTTGAAAATTATCCAGATTTACATAATTACAAAATATTATCATATTTCCCTGAGAGTGCTAAACTTGATCATTCTGTCAATATTAGTCATATTTAAAGACCAAGGAGAAGGTGTGTTTATGATCAAACCTCCAAACATTTGATATCTCTAAAAAGCCCTGAATGTGCTCCGTACAGGACATCCAGACTGTATAATAAAACTGTGGCGTGTATGGTCTCAGAGAAATTCACCAAAATATAATGTCCTCTACAGAGGACAAAAGTCTATGCCTGGGTCCCAGGAGGATATGAAGTTGTCACATATTTGTTTCATAATTGTTTTACTGTTTAAATTGAGCAAAAAATTCAATAAACAGACAAATACGTTGCATAAAGTGCCATGTTTACTCAGGTAAAAGCAGGTTCTCTTTGTGACAACTTACCCCATATGTGTGTTTCAGTTTACAGAACTGTATTTTATGGATTTAATAGATTTTGTACGCAACAAAGATTTAGCAACTTTTCTGTATAGGATTTGTCTATACACAAATTTTAACAAACCCATCAGAAAAAGCAACATTGTGTCATTGTGACCTTGACCTCTCGGATTACTGTACTGAAATCCATGCTTAAGAAAACACACAAAATCAAAGCCAGTCAAATAAAAGGCAAATGTAGTATGAAAACTTGATAACAGAGTGCCTTCCATTCACTTGTGTGTACTTGTAAGCCACTGACAGCAATAATGTCAAGCACAGGTTACTTTATTTCAGCCGCTCTGTGTGTAGTGAGGCTACACATTGTTTTGAAAGTTAATATCGAAGGACAGATGTGAGCTGCCGGCTTTACCGTCGGACACGAACCGCTCACACCTGCGTCATTACTGTTGGGAACAGCCCTGCAGGGCCAAACACGCGCCTTCATTTCCCGCCAACCTCTAACCTGTGTCAGACAGCTGGCCTCTCACATTCACAACATCACACATTAAGAAAAATGGAGCAAACAAACTCTCTTCATTACTGAAACACCACATCAGAGTATTTGAGGTTATGCTGCTGCTGTTGTTATGTTGTGGAAGTTTGTTTGTTAAGTAGGCAGTTAGATTAGATGAAATCCATTTTCCATTTGATATAGTTAATGAGTCCTAAACAGATGCTTGAAAAACGGACACAAGCACATTAATGAGCATTATTGATGAACGCGACATTTTTAAGCATTATTTGTGAATATTATTTATAACCAAAGGGTTGAAATGAACCAAGGGTTAAAATTAAAAGGAAAAAAAAGAAAAAAAGAGGGAAACAATTAACCAAGGGTTAAATTAAAAGGAAAAACAGAGAACAAAAATATAATAATGTAAAAACGAATAATAAAAACATAAAACAGTATAAAAATATTATAAACAATACTGTCACTTAATTAATGAAATGTACTGCAAACGTGTTAACAATTAACTTATATTATTACTATTACAATAAATATGTTATTAGCTATTATTTTAATTAATAAATATTGATTAATTAATAAATTATTGATTAATAATTACATTAATTTAAAATTTTCAATTAATTTATTAAACAGTTCGGTTAAAACTAAACCTTTCAGAGCTAAACCTGTCCATATTTTAATAAAACAAATAAATAAACAGGAAAATACCGAGATATTAATGATAACTGCTGTACTTTTAGAAGATATACAATTATAAGACAATTGTTTATAGAACATATTAAAAACAACATAAACATATTTAATTATGTAATGTCATGAGCAACCATCGGTTTAGGAATTTTTTATTCATAAATTTCTCTTTATTTGCATTGATGGTTCCATGAAGAACCTTTAACATCCATAAAGTCTCTTAATTGCAGAAAATGTTCTTAATAGTGGAAACATGTTCTTTAGATTTTTTAAATATTCGTCACACTAAAAAATGGTTCTTTTAAGAACAGTTCACTGAACAGTTCTTTGGGGAACCCAACATTTTTTTTTTCTATGACATCACTGCAAAAAATAATTACAAAAATTGTAATCATAATAATAAAAACAAACAAATATATATATACATATTTTTAAAGAGTGTAAACCATTTCAAATAATATCCCAAATCAATATTACCTCTAAGACCAAATATATTTTGAGAGTAAATGAATGATCATGATATGTTAATATCCTTAAAATGCTAATATGGCCTCTCTATTGTTTATGGGCTTTTGCATGTATATGTGTATATGTTTCTGCATGGGAGTGTTGTTTTGGTCGGTCTAGGAGCTCAAGCATCACCTCACTGAAGGCTGCCCCGGCATGCTTGACCTGATGATTAGATTTATTAAAGCGCGTGGGTGAGGTGTGTGTGTGTTTGTGCATGTGTTTATTGTGTGTGTGTGTGAGCGGATGTTTTAAGGGGGTGTCACTGACGTAAATCCTTAAGGCATAAACTCAGTGCTCGTTATAGACCAGAGGTTGAGAAGTGAGCTAATTGATTAATTTAAAGTGATAAAATGCGTCATTCATTCAATGTGTGACGAAGTGTCAACTTGAAGGCCATGTATCCGTAAAACCTTTTATAGTGTCTCATGGTCCAGATTCTGTAGGGAATCTAGGGTATTTGTAGGCCAGGCCTGTTTAACATCAACAGCAAACTATAAATGTGATTCATTGAGACTGGAAATCGGTGTAATTTATTCTTTATTACAAGAATTTACATTCTGTGTGAATATAGTTGGCCGAGAATCCCACATACAGCTGAGTTTCATTATACACATGACACTAAAATAATGAAATAATAATTTAACAACATAAGATGTAAGATAAACTAATAATGTACATAACTTTAATTTATTTCAATGAAAAAAAAAATTCTGGAAATGTCAATTTATGGTTTTTCACTGTAAATTATAAAATGATTTTTTTTTTCTTTTAGACTCCCCAAAACTGTACATTTAATAGTATGTTACTGTCAAATTACATAGAACGTCCCATTAGATCTATTACTTTTCCACTGTAAGTGAACTCCAACTGTAATCAGTTATATTAAAAAATGCCCTGGCTCTTACAAGCTTTATAATGGCAGTGAATGATGGTTGAGATTTTAAAGCAAAATAAAGTGCGTCCATCCATCATAAAAAGTGTCCCACAAGGCTCCGGGGGATTAATAAAGTAAGACCTTGATTAGCTGGTTCAGGTGTGTTTGATTAGTGTAGGAGCTAAACTCTGCAGACCCCTGGCCTACGCCTACGTCATCCACTGGAACACCCCTTTCTCATGAACGCGAGTACAACAGTTAATGGAAGCTAGAGATTACGGTTTATAAAGCTGTAAATATGGATATTTGTCTTACACAAATGCATCGCTTCACTTATTAACCAACCCCCCGGATGCATGTGGAGTACTTTTTATGATGGATGGATGCACTTTATTGAACTTCAAAATCTCAACACCCATTCACTGCCATTATAAAACTTGAATGAGGAGGACGTTTTTTAATATAACTCCAACTTTTATTCGTCTGAAAGAAGAAAGTCATATACACCTAGGATGGCTTGAGGGCAGAGTATGTGAGCGGAGTGGAGCGGCAACAATTTCCCCTTCGCGCTCCAAGCATTCAATAATCACTCCGCTCCAGCTCCCCTCCTCGCTTCACTGATCAGAAACACCACTCCACGGCTAAATTATTTTACTATACTTGAAAAATCAAAGTTCTGTTCAGAAATTATATTAAACGAAAAATAAATGCATAATACTAGAAGAATAGTTTTAACATGGTTTATTGGAACACTACAATTAGCCCAAGTCCATATTAAAGGACTGCTTTAAAGGGGTCATATGATGCTGCTAAAAAGAACATTATTTAGTGTATTTGGTGTAATGAACTGTGATTATGCGGTTTAAGGTTCAAAAAACACATTATTTTCCACATACTGTACATTATTGTTTCTCCTCTATGCCCCGCCTTTCTGAAACGCGTAGATTTTTACAAAGCTCATCGGTCTGAAAAGCGAGGTGTGCTGTGATTGGCCAGCTATCCAGTGCGTTGTGATTGGCTGAATACCTCAAGAGTGTGACGGAAATGTTACGCCCCTCACCATATTGTCCGGCCGGAGCGACGAGACAAAAACATGATAACCCATTATAAACGAGGCATTTGTTGCATCCAGTGGGGACATAATTATGGATTATAATGACTTATACTGTCTTTTTACGTAAACATAAAACCATGCCAACATTTGTGATTGGAGAAATGACAAACAACAAGCCCTACTCTACACTGCTCAAAACTCGCTTTAAATATAAAAAATATCAAATATAAAAACTCTTTAAATATAAAAAACGTACTTACAGGCTGTGAGTCAGAACAGCCGGCATTGTAGTCTACTCTCCCAGGATCAGGAAACAGTCCTCCATAAAATGTGCTGCACACATCTGAATATTTGGGTTGAAGTGTTCTGGAACAGTGTTGTAAATACAACTTAACCACTGATTTCTAGTTGTGTCCATTTTTGGAAGACCAAACAAAGTAGTTTCGCTTTCACAACGAAACACAGCATCACACACGGCGGGCTAGAGTGAGCAGAGGTGGCGGGCTTGAGAAAAGTGCGGCCGGCGGATTCAACGAAGGAGGCTTGTGGCAATCACATGTGACGACCCCGGGCTGGACAGCGGGAAGTTGATGTATTTCCTCAGCAACCAGCACGGATCAGCTCTAGGCATGACGAAGCAGATATCGTCCTCTTTTGGAAGACCAAACAAAGTAGTTTCACTTTCACAACGAAACACACAGCGCCTTCACGACATGGCAGCAACAACAATACTACAGCGAGAATAAAAGTTACGCCTTCTTTCTTTGCGTGAACATTTGGGCGGCGTTATGCAAATCTTCCCACATAGTGAGGTAGATATGTGGGGGTGTGTTAGAACGAGCCGTTTTAGGTAGGCGTGGCTGACTCTTAACTTTTATAAAGAATATCTCTTTGGATTTGAGACTTTAGTCTTTGCCACTTTACAGATCTTCTTTATGCACCAAGAGCTTGTAACACTCCAAAGAGAAAGGACAAATTGAAATCGCATCATATCATGACCCCTTTACCTCGCTTAGCTTACTTGTCTGTGCAACGTCTCTACTATGGCGAAGCTGAGGGTAGTTACTTCAGAAACAGAAAAAATATGCGGCAACTTTTCCGTTTTTAAGATGATAAATCACAGGACAGCGTTGACCAAATTTGAACCATTTCATATAGCCATGTTTCGCCATTTTTAACCTTCATATGTGATCCACATATCTGTCAAGCTAACTAATTATGTTTAATCTGTGAGTTGGCATAATTTGTGCTCGTGCCGGAGCGGCGCGGAACGAGTGAAAACCTCAACGCTCCGACTTTCAAAAAAATCCGCTCCTAGCTCCAGGCAAAATCACGCCGCTCCCATACTCTGCTTGAGGGTGAGTAAATCATGGGGTAATTTTTATTTTTGGGTGAACTCTTCCTTTAAGTGGAAGCAATGAAATAACTGAAATAAATAAATAAAAACTAAAATTTTATTAAAACCAAAATTGAAATAAAACATTAAACCTGAATAGTAATATAGAAAAATATAAAAAATGACTAATGCACATACTGTAACAAAATGACTATATAAATGAAACAAAAATTAAAATAAAAACCAAAAATTTATAAAATACTGTAATATATAATAGGGAATAATAGAAAAATTTATTTGAAAACATTCAAATGCATTAAACAATACTATCAATGAATTAAACACAACAAATGTATTAATATATCTATTCAATTACTAAATATTATTACTATTATATTAAGCATTATTATTGATTAATTATTAAATTTATAAAATCTTTCATTTATTAAACAGTTAAGAGCTAAACCTGCCCATTACTGTATCTTAATAAATAAAAGCAATTTAGAAAATAATATATAATACGCATATTAATATTATAATAAAACATTTTAATGAGTGAGGGAGAGAGAGAGAGAGTAGTAGTAGTAGACTATATAAATAATACCAAAAATACGATGTTATGCACTTTACGTTGAGTTAATCCTGGCGTGCATGGGTGCCGCTCAGCTGTGGGAGGGTGCTGTGGTTGGAACGGGTGACACATCGAGCTGAACCCCGCGGGGCGCCACTCATGACGCGTATGGCGCCTCCAAAGAAAAAGCTCCATTCAGCAGGAGACCGGCTTCAGTTCCCACAGACGAGACGACACAGGCTGCCATTAAAAAGCCTCTAGCCTGTTAATAAGTGAATTACCTGTCGGTGTTGTACCTGAGCGCTGAACCTACTGTTCTGGATGATTTATTCCTCACAAGCTTTTTTTTTTTTTAGACACATTTGTGATTGTGCATTCTTTGGCTATATATGATGTTTTGAATTATATTTATACGTGAAGAAAATATTTGATTGTGTGATGAAGAAAGAAAAAGATAATAAAAGTGCAGATGACTTCACTAAGTTGTGCATTTGTGTTGTTTTATATGTTATACATAAGCGATCACAACTTAAAAGTCAACTTAAGTTTCAGCTTAAGAAAGTAAGTGTTTGTGCTTGACCTTATGTTGAATTTAGTTTAGATGTTTAAGTTATATCTCAACAAATGTTAAGTTGTTAACTAATCGCAGCAGCATTTTTCGTATTTCAGTACATCGTTTAAGTAATTTACTTATTATTATATTTCCATTTAAATGCCAAGCATATAAGACAAGTGAAAGTTTATTTGTGAAAACAGTTATATGCATGCGGGTGAGGATTGTGTTTACGACATGTTTACTTTCTCACTTCTCCTTTTTTACATTTGATGTTTTTCTCTGTTTCCGTCTCTTCCGCCGCATCTGTCTTTCTCCTCCTCTCTTTCACTGTCAGTTCTGGTTTGCCCATCTTTGCGTGTACATCAAGGTCTTCTTTCTGATGCTTCAAGATGAACAAAACAAGTGAGATACCATTTACCATTACTAAAGGTAAAGACAGGAGTTAGTAAAGTGCTGATATTTATCTGGAAAACAGTTAATATAATGTTTGAAAAGAAAAAAGGGGTATCTTTCACAGTAGTTAATACAGACCTAGAATCATGTATATAATATACAGATTGTGTGTATTGAAGAAAGAGTTTCTTGTAATTGTGGGAGCAAATTTTTAAACATTAAACTACCACTTATTTAGACATGGAATACATTGAATTGGATACATTGTTGTTTTTGGTTTCTATTAATTGCCATGCAGTTTTTCCACACACTGCACTTCAAATTAAGGAGTATAATTTTTGGTGCTTGAGTGCATGTTTGCTGGTTAAGGCCTTAGCAGTGAAAACATCACTTCAGAGAAAATACAGTTGCAAATATTTGTTTCTGGGTAGTGTGTTAAAGAAAGGAAATGTGTGGCAGCTGCTGAGAAAACTACATGCAGTCCCTCCCTTGGGATCTGTCTGTGAGTGTGTATGAAAAGAAACAGTAAGACTGAAAGTGTGAGGCTGTCACATGACGCAAATCTAGAAGATGATGCTGTTTTTCAAAAGAAATTTGTCAAACCAAGTGACAAATCCCCAACTGCACAAACGTCATACATTAGAATTTCTTCCTTATAATTGCACTAATAATACAGAACAAAAAAAAAAAAGAAAGTTTTTTTTCTATTTTGATTCGAATTTTTAAATCACAGAATTAACAGAAATGAGTTATGGCAACATTTCTAATTTTTCAAAAGTTCATCAAAATAATTTAATCAACTTTAACTTCACTGAAGTTAAACAAGATCCAACTCAATTGATTTAAAGCCAATTTAATATAATTTAAGTTGAAATGACTTGAAAACAACCAATTTGACTGAACTTCAAAATTTAAGGCAGCAACTGATTTTTATTTATTTATTTTTGGCCTAATAGCGACAGTGGCCTGCTGTTTTTAAGAATTGTTTCTAATATTATTTAAATAATATTTTCATGTATTTTAAGAGAATTTTATCTTGAACACTTCAATACAAATTCAGATAGTACACTGAAAAAAATGAGTGTAAGATTGACTATTTTCACTCAGAAATTACTAGTCAATTTCATAATTACAAAATAAGTATGTTATTTAAATCTGCAATTTTGAAGCAGAATGATTGAAATAATATTTTCTGGTAAAATGTACTTTTTGTATTTTCTTACAGTATTTAAAGAAAAAAAAAATCCCTGTAATGTGTATATGGTGTCTTATATTAAATGTGTTCATTGTTTTTTATAAACCAGCATGATGAAGTGAACTTTCAGCTCTAAAGAAAAACTATTAAAACATGTCCACAGGCTTTAACACAACTAAGTTTGACAACGTGTCCCACAGTAAGCCTGATCTCAGACCAGTGAAAAACCCCTCACATAACACAGGTATGTTTTTGTGTAGCTTTACGTCATTATAAATCAGTTGCTGATTCACTTATTCATTTATTTGTGTGTTGCATTTAGCATCTCGACCTGATTGGATACTCTACACAGTTCCTGCATCAGCCTTTCTGATTGGGATTGTTCTGTTCACATATGTCTGCAAAACACAACAACGCAGAAATGGTAAGTGTGAACACACCCAAACATACACACACTGACACTAATCAATTCTCCAACTTCATGCTGACTAAATATATATATTATAGTATAAAGACTTATGATGGTCAAATGATGAGAGTTGATCTAAAAAAAAATGTTTCTTGCAGCACCTGCAAAGCAGAGGACAAACACAAACGGACACTTTGCCACTTACTCCGACTTTGGGTGATGCATTTCCTTCTGATTCAACACTTCTTCTCTTTTCTTTTTACTCTCTGTCTCTTTCTTTGTCAAATGATGGGTAAATGTTGCCAAAATGTACATTACTATCAAAAATAACCAAAGAGATTTTAATCAAATTGGCTGAAAATGTACTCGCCCTCAGGCCATTCAAGATGTAGATGAGTTTGTTTCTTCATTGGAACAGATTTAGAGAAGTTTATCATTATACTTACATTACTTACTCACCAACGGATGCTCTGCAGTGAATGGGTGCCGTCAGAATGAGAGTCCAAACAGCTGATAAAAACATCACAGTAATCCACAAGTAATTCACACCACTCCAGTCCATCAATTAACGTCTTGTGAAGAGAAAACTTGCATGTTTGTAATAAACTAATCCGTCATTAACATGCTTTATAACCTTAAACCATCGCTGGCCAAAATACCAGTCCATAATCCATAATTTCCTCCAGTGAAAAAGTCAATTTCTTGTTGTTCTCTCACATCAGAATCCACTGATATATTACTTTAGAGCTGTTTTGAACTGTTTTCACTTATAAACACTGCTTGATCTGTGAATATTTCGCTCCTGATTCAGACAGGATGACTTTTTAAATGTTTTTATCAGCTGTCTGAACTCTCATTCTGACGGCACCCATTCACTGTGCATTTGATGAAATGCTAAATTTCTCCAAATCTGTTCTGATGAAGAAACAAAAATTTTCAGCAAATTTTCATATCTGGGTGAACTATTACTTAATAAATTCAAGCCTAGCCTTTCCTTTTTGTCAACTAAAGAAGATGGTTATTTCATGTTTTTGAATGTGTGCTGTCACAGGTACACTGAGAGCGGTACTCAGAGACATATGGAGACCAATGAAAACAACAAGAAGGGTAAAATACTACTAATAATTTTTATATGCATTATAGTGCTTAGTCAGACCATGTTCAAATCTCAAATCATAGTTTTCAACATAGTATTTCTTTATAAAAAATTTAAAAAAGGTAAATGACATTACCACAAAACCTTCAAAAAGCAGTCATTAATTATTTGTTTTTTCAACAGATGACACACAGTCCTATGAGAATGTAGAAGCAGCTATCTACAGCAATCAAGACAAAGTCACATATTATGTTTCTGCAGATGAAGGTATTTCCTGACCAACAGTAAATATGTGAGTGGTTTTACTGTGCAATTAAATGCTTGTTGGTTTTAGATTATCTTAACCCCGATGCAATCGAGGAAGAGGAAGTGGCCGGGCCAGAGGAACATCACAACAACACCCTACAACTGCCTAGCAATTTGACTGATACAGGTGAGGGAGGATATACAATACTTCATACATACATATACATACCTGTGTGTATATATATATATATATATATATATGTATATAATATTACAAACAGCACACTGTGAAGCTTAGTTGAATTTTAGTTAAAGTTTTTATTCATTTCTATTATCATTATTTTTAAATATTTCTATTTAGGTGACATTTATTTTTACTTAACTTTTTTATTTTAGTGCTTCAACTGACATTTCTAATTTTCATTTAGTTGAGGTTTTTCCATCTAATATTTTTATTTTTATTTATTGGATTCATTTCAATTGCAAACATGTTTTAATCATTTTAGTTTTTGTTAACAATAATAACCCTGTATTATACAGCTCTAAAGAGGACATTGGCAGACAACGGTCTGAAATTGTTCATGGCATATTTATTGATTTAGCCGAAATATTTTTTTCCTAATTAATACTACTAAATATAATCACTATACATTCCAAAGCTTTGTCTGCTTATTAAAGCTCCTCTATAGATTAAGTTCCTAATGTCGTTTATACTGGAGTCCTGTAGGGAAGGAGTTGGCACAAGTTGTATTCGGGGTCGGATCTGATTTTGGTCTCTTTTTCTCTTCAGATGGAGAGTCGTATGAGAACATGGAGGGGTGTTTATATGCTCAGCCTCGCAAACGGACACAGCAACTCCAGCACGCAGCTGAAGATGAGGGTGAGGGATCAAACACACACCCAGATGGGTGGCAGGGATCTGATATTCTATTCACTTTAATACATAGTAGTCAAATTAATGTGATAATGTGCGATAATCTCTCTTAAAAATGCCATAGACTATATAAATCCTGATGAAGATAGAAAACAAGATCTCGCTCTGGACCAAACAGACACCGGCAAGTGTTTAATTATGTGTTTGTATGCACATGTACAGTTTGGAATAAACAAACAAAAAATTAGGTATATATATATATAATTTCTTTCCTTTTAGAGTCATATGAAATTATGGTTGGATCAGACTGTCCGTACAACTACACAACCCATGACACCATGGAGGATGGTGAGTGAGTGTATGCATGTATGTGTTAAAGACATGAGTGTCTCTTTACATGTGATTAAGTTTGTGTGTAAACGCTTGTTTCAGATTCATATGAGCAGATGAATGGAATCCCAGTCCTGATCTAGAAAGAAATGGATGGAAGAAGAGCGGGTGAATGAAAGAGATGCAGAGAAATGGACAACTGCAGTGAAATTGCAATTAAAAGAGAGACAAACGAGAAACACTGAGTTTCTTTTTAAGACTAAAACCTAGCAGCTACAGGATGCGTAATAGTTAATTGTTATTTTTACAAGTAGCCTATGTAAGTATTGAAATCAAAATGGACTGTTTAATTTAAAAAAAAAAATTTAATTTCTGTGTTATTGGGCATTGTTTATTTCTCTCTCACACATAACCAAAGACACACAGACCAAAAACATAATAACTCGCATTTCATTATCCAATCAAATCAAAACAAATCCTGTATTCAGTCTCCCAATGAATATTTCACTAGAAATGTCACATGACAGAATTTTAAAAGCTTGCGAATGACATTTCACGTCGTTTGTAGACCTAAAAACAAGTTTGTACATTTTTTTACCTTGAAATATCAGTTTCAAAATCCTTCCGGCTTCCGTTTCTTTCTCTTGCACCCCTTTATTACGTCAAACACTGTAAGTTTGGTGAGCGGGTACGGATTTCCGCAAAAAGTGCGGCCTGCTTTACGGCAGCAACACATGCACATGATGCACAGCCAGGGATGGTCTGTAATTACGATAGCAACAGCGAATTCCACTTAATGGTGGGGTAAGTGATTTCTGGTAGCCAATGTTGACATTAGAAATCAAGGTTTCCTCTTTTGTTTTTTATCCGCCATCTCTATCTTTCTGTCGCTCGGCTCGGCTAACGTCCGTTCTGTAGTGTGCACTGAACTCTCCTCCACATCATCATGAGTAGACACACCCCTTACTGCTGATTGGCTACAAGTTTGTTTTGCTATTTGGCCCGAATCCGTTTTCTAAAGCGTTTTTGAAAAATCGCTTACCCCACCTTTAATTAACTACAGGGGGCTCAAAAGTCAGATCTGGTTGGAGAAAAAAATGTATATTGTATTTAGAGATAAACTGATAAATATCACAAAAATGTCAAGAAATATCCTGGTCATATCTTACTTAATGTAAATTCATAATTTAAATACATTTCTAAATAATGAATACAATTATTTGAATAGTAAAATATGAAATTACATCACAGTAGTCATTTTATTATGCAGTTTTGTTTGTTTGAAGTCTTGATTTTAAGATATCACCAAGACCTTTCTTTGTGAAAGTCACCAACTGGGTTGCAATTGTAAAGAGCTTCCCAAACACTGTTTGTTTTATTGCTGTATTAATATTCAAATAACTGTCACAATAAAGACCTAATGAATGAGTTTACTGTCAAAAAGCAACATTCAAGCACAGATTTAAGATCTTTCACACCATCGCACTCAAATGTGTTGATTTAAACATCACACAATAACTGGGACTTTCAAAAATTGCCTTCTCAATGTCACGACATATGTTTGACACCAGTTTAAAAATATGTATATAGTAGTCTATTGCAACTTAAATAATCACTGTACACTTTTCTGCTTATTACGTTTTTTTATGTTGTTGAAAAGTGGTTAAACGCAAAACAGACACAAAGCTGAGTCTACACATCTATTGAATTCATTTTATTACATTAGCCACATTTTTTTATACAGATGACCGGAAAACAGACAGCAAAAGAACCCAGTGTGTGTCTGCAGATGAACGGCAAGGAATGACAAGCCAAGTACAGTTTAAATTTGGAAACTTTCCCAAATGTACTGTTTTTCTCCTTGTGAATAATTGACATCTCAGAGGAAAATGAAAGCCTGTTTCAAAAATTTTGATGTGCTGAAATAGACAAAAAGGATTCCAAATTTCCAATTCGAGTTATACTTTACTTGCTTCTTCATGTAGAAAACCGGTGGGCAGATTTTTTTAAGGGTTCGTGAAGACATTAGCAATCAGGACAAAGACATCCTCCTTAGCAAACAGATTTAATTTTGCAATATAAACAGGGCCGCAATTCAATTCTAGAGTAACATTTCTAGAACTTAAGTCCAAAAGGCTTCAGATGCCAGAGTCTCAAAGAGTTTCCTCTTTTCCCATCGTCTCTCTCAGCCCCAGTTGTATTTGTCGTCCTCGGTCATGGGGAAGATTTCTGTGACCAGGCCCGTGCCGATGGTTTGGTTGCCGTCTCTGAGAGTGAACCTTTGGCCTCTGTCAAGAGCCATGGGCTGCCTGAGGGCCAGGATCAGAGACACGTCCTCTCCCGGCATCACCATCTCCTATGAAAAGAGAGATGGCGAAAAAGACCGATTTAGAGCAAACCCTTCTAGTGCTGATATTCAATATTTGCTCAGCTAAAACGTACCTTCCCAGGGAGCAGCTCTACTATACAAACCATGTCCCAGGTGTGAGAGAACATGATCGGCATGAAGTTTGTGCAGAATGGTTTGTGCCTGCCGCCCTCCTCTTTGCTCAGGATGTAGACCTGAACACAAAGAGTTGAAATGATTGATTGGTTTGTGAAGTAGGACAGAGGAGCTGAATTGACGTTTCTAAATTCACACACCTGAGCTTTGATCTTCTGGTGTGGCTGGATGGATCCAGGTTTGCACATCACCATGCCTCTCCTGACATCCTCCCTCTTCAGACCACGCACCAGAGCGCCCATATTATCGCCCGCCTCCGCCCGTTCTAGAGACTGGTGGAACATCTCGATACCTGAGAGAACGAGCAAGAATCAGAGAAAATCAGAGCAATCGGAGTTGAATTTCTGCCCAAAAAGTGATTCATCGCTTAAAAAATTTGATTTTAGCCATTATGTTTGGTGCCCAATCAGAAATCCACATCATTTCTTGTTATAGTGAAAATGTCAGTGTGTTTTAAAACACATATGGCACAGCAACAAAATACATTTGAAATGAATTTTTTTTGTTGTTTTAATATTAATTATATACTATTATAGTATTTATTACTGTTTTGAATGAGCTTTTACGTTCATATTTTCAGTTTTCATTTTAGTAATTTTGTTGTGCTTTTGTCATTTATTACATTTTTTTTATTTCCATTTAGCTTTAAATCATTTGTATTACAGTTTTAGTTTGAGCAATTTTAGTACTTACACTTATTTTATTTCAGTTAGTTGCCAAGGCAAGGCATATTATTATTTTATTATTATATTTTAAAACACACATCATAGAACTAAAGCAACTTATTAAAAATAATAATAATACAATTTATTGTTTTAGTATTATTTATATACTATTATAATATTAAGTAATATTTTAAGAGCTTTTATTTTTATCTTTTCAGTTTTCATTTTAATTTTAGTTTAAGTTTTAGTAATTTTATTATGTGCTTGTCATTATTATTAGTTTTTTGTTAAATATTTCTATTCAGCTTTAAATTTTTTTTTTTTTCAGTCTTAGAACATCAACTTAATCTTATTTTATTTCAGTTAGTTGGCAAGGAAACATTTCTAAACTTTTCACCAATATTTTTATTTTATCATTATAGTTTAAACATACAGTATCTCACAGCAACCGAAGTTACTAATTAAACACGTAATAATAATAATTATATTTGTTGTTTTAGTATTATTTGTACACTATTAAAGCATTTAGCAATATTTTAAATTAGCTTTTATTGTAACAATTTTAGTACTTCAACTTATTTTATTTCAGTTAGTTGCCAAAGCAACAATTTCAAGCTTTAAATCTAATATTGGTATTTTATTTCAATTAACAAAAACAGTTTTAACAGTTTTAGTTCAGCTCAAGAACATGTTCAGATTAATACAGGGGGAAAAAAACACTTTCTTTGTGCTTCCAGTTAGCTTGCCATAATAGAGGTTAATACATGCAATGTCATGCTTTCAGTTTTAAATATAAAATATGTATAAAATATTATCTTCAATAACCATATTCAAATACCAAAGGGTGTTATTTTTTGCATCACGACACAGAAAGACATCAATTGTGTTCAATGTAAGATCTATAACAAATATATTAAACATATTTTGCACAATGAAGTACTCCCTATTAAGACAACATGAGCAGAAAATATAGTTCTCACCAGTGATGATGGACTTAAAGCAGCGATTGTGTCCGAGAAATTCACATTCATCTCCTTTCTTGATCATTCCTCGCTCTAGTGTGCCAGTGACCACAGTACCACGACCTGCACACAAGATTCATACAGTTAAACACACAAACATAAAACATATTTATTCATTTTAGAGATGCTTTTACCCAAAGCAGAACATTATATCACAGATACTATATCAGCAGAAGCACAAGAAGAAAACACAGACCTGGAATAGAATAGACTCCCTCTATGGGCAGCAGGAATGGTTTATCTAGATCTCTCTTTGGCAAAGGAATATAATTATCCGCCACATCCAAAAGCTTCATAATGGATTTAACACCCAGCTCCGGCTGTCTGTTCTGAACACACACGATCATAACAGTATTGAAATTTGTGATTCAACAGTTCAAAACACATCATTCCAAGACAAACAGTCTTCAGTTTGAATATATTTTAAAATGTTATTTATGCAAAACTGAATTTTCAGCATCATTACTCCAGTCTTCAGTGTCACATGATCCTTCAGAAATCATGATAATATGCTGATTTGCTGCTCAGTTATTAGTAATTATTATTGGTGCTTTCAAAATATTACTGTATTTATCGTTTTTTCTAGGATACATACTTAAAGGGGTCATATGATGTTGCTAAAAAGAACAGTATTTTGGGTATTTGGTGTAATGAAATGTGTTTATGCGGTTTAAGGTTAAAAAAACACATTATTTTCCACATACTGTACATTATTGTTTCTCCTCTATGCCCCGCCTTTCTGAAACGCGTCGATTTTTACAAAGCTCATCGGTCTGAAAA